TTTGTTTACTTGGCAAAGGTTTTTTTAGACTCAGCTCAAGTAAAGCATAGCAAAACAAAAACAAAAAAAAAAAACGGTAAGAACTCTAATTCTACTGATGTCTAACATCTGGTGCATTGCCATCACTATGCATCTAATAATCTATAGGTAGAGACCTCATTAACTCTTAGTTGAATTGTTCACAGGCATGAGCCTATATAGGCAGGGCTGTCCAGTTCACCTAGGTGACTCTTCAGGGATATGAAGGAACGGAAACACTGGATGGGCAGAAGAGCAATGCTTCGTGAAACCCTGTGCCCACTGGTGACTATGGAGAGCCACAGGGAAGTAAGCAGCATAACAGTATTTATTAGTCTATTGGTGAATGATCAAATCCAGAAGGACATACAGAAACAAGCCCTGGGAAAGGGGGGAGCGAAGGAAAGGCAGATCGAAGGAAAACACGAAGTTCACCCACTGAATCAACCGCCTCTGAGAAACCATCCTCCACAATCTCAGCCCATTACCCTACGCCAGCCGCCCCCAGCCCGGGCTCTCCACACGTGCTGGGCAACAGCTCCCCTAAGACCCGGTCAGCATCAGAGGACTTGCTTCCAACCCATCCGAAGGGCACCCCAAGCACAGGCAAATGACTGGGCAATGCTCTCCTCCATCGCTCTGGACGGATAAATCCCAGGAGGATTCCGGGATGGCGAAGAAGGGGCAGAAGCGAGCCACCTGCGCACCGCCGCGCTCTCTCCCTCTCCGTCGCCAGCCCACCCGGCCGTCCCGGAGATTTGGGGCGCCGAGGAGTTGGGTGCAGGTGCTCCGCCCTGGGGTACCTGGTGCAGCGCTGTCAGCCCGTCTACGTTGGCCGTGTTAAGGCGGGCTCCGCGGGCCAGCAGGCGCTTCACCTCCTCGGTGTCCCCGCTGGAGCAGGCGGCCAGAAAGACGGCGCCGTCCTCGAAGCGCACACGGCCCCCGCCGCGGTGCCGGCTCCGGGCGGGAGTCACCGGCTCCAGTTCGGTCAAGGAGCCTTTCCAGCGTTTCAGCTGCTCCGCCCGACGCAGCCTCGCCGATTCGGCCCGCTTCACCCCCAAGTGGCCCGGCTCCGACATGGTGGCGATGGCGGCAATGACAGCCGACTCTCTCCGCTGTAGACCGTAGTGCCAGGAGCGCGCCGACCGCCTCAGCCCGCGGGAGAGCGCGACCGCCCGGCCGCCATCTTCCCAACTCCCCGCCCCCTCCCCGGAGTTACTGTGGCGCGGGCGCAGAGAGCATCTTAAAGGATCATGGGAAACGTAGTTCGAAGGGGCTTCGCTGAGTGGGATCCCGGGGAGGAGGGCAAGGTCTTCCAAATACGTCTTCTCACCCGGGGCAGTGATTTCTAGCCCGCTTGAACTAATGGAGAAGCGTTATAACCCAGGCGTGCTGCAGACACAAGAAACAAAGTATTATGCTTATTACCACTTTCAATAAGTATGTTTGAACATTTTCCTCAGTAGCACGTAAGCCCTCCTGGCATACTTTAAGCCAGTGTTTCTTAGACTTTCTGCTCTCAGGACCCCTTCCCACTTTTAAAAATTATGGAGGACCCCAAAAGAGCTTTTGTTTATGTAGGTTATATTAATTGATATTTACTGTATTAAAACTGAAAATTGATGCAGTTGTAGAATATTTATTTCTTGAATCATGTAAAAATAACAATATTAAACCCATTTGATACTAACAGAAATAAAATATTGTTCATGAAAAAAACCCGATATTTTTTAGCAAATAAAAATAATAATGAGAAGAGTGACCTTGTTTTAAATGTTTGCAAATATCTTCAATATCTGACAAATAATTTTGATTTTGCAGACCCCTGAGAAGGTCTTGGGGGACACCTGGGGTCCTCAGATCACACTTTAAGAAATACTGCCTTAAGGCATAGATTAAATACTCAAGATAGGGTGATTTCTAGTAAACCCACAAATATACAACTTGGTCTAGGTTTAGCCACAGCTGGTCTCTGAATAGCATCCCAGGTGCCACATTCAGAAATGTAGTGGTGTATTCAGGACAACTAAATTACATTTCAAGTGGATTAAATTTAAGTATAGTTAATACAATTACTTCCCAGTTCTGTATTTAATACTTTCTCTTTCTTTCAGATTGAAATGCACAGTTACAACTTTTGAAAGCCTCTGGGAATCGCACACAAAGCTTTCAGAGGTACATGCAGCATTGGGCTCTCAAGATTTGCTCCTGTAAATGAACAGGATTAAGCAGAAACAAGAAAGGTCTGCATTAATGGGCCACCTCTTCCACTGATTTAAAATGAACAGAATTAGCCAAGTCACTTGTTATTTATTCAGAGTAGTAGAGATTAATCTATGCAGTGTTTAAGATGAACATGGATTATAAAGCACATAGAATGGAAGGATAGGAAGGAAGATCACTTAGTTTGGAGATCATGTAGCTCCAAACTGCTCAGTGAAGGAATCCACTATTACAACATTCCCAACACATTCACTCATTCATTTAATATATATGGCTCCCCGTTTCAGACATATGACTCTGGGCAACTATGATCATCCAGCCTCTTTTGAAACACTCCAGTGAAGAAGAATCCACTATCTTCCAAGGTGGTCTGTTCCATTGGTGAAGAACTCTTGCCATTAGGAAATTTGTTTCCTTATAAAAAATCTGTTTCCTTATAGTTTAAACCCCTTGTTTCTTGTCCTCCCAATTGAAATACATCTGCCACATCTTCTACATGACAGCCTTTCAGATACTTGAAGATAACTATAGCTAACAGTGCCTCCAACTGTTTCTGGTAAGATTTTCCTTCCAGACCCCTTATCATCTTGGTTGCTCTCTACTGTACATGTTCCAATTTGTCAAATGTGGTGCTCAGAAATAGATGTTGTCTGACCAATCCAGAATAAGGGCTTTTCTTGATCTTGACACTATCATTTTGTTAATTATATCATGGTGTTGGCTCATATTCAGCTTGTGATCCACCAAGTTACCTGAAACCTTTTCACATGTACTGTTACCCAGTATAGTCTCCCCTATCCTATATGTATGCCTTTGCTTTTCTACCCAAATGGAGAAGTTGCATTTGTCCTTGTTGAAATTCAACTTGCTGGTTTTGGTCTATTTTTCCAACTTGTCAAGATCCTCCTGAATCTTGATACTGTCCTCTAAGCCATATATAAATAAACTGAATAGCAATGAGTTTAAAACAGAGTCTAGCAGAATACTATTCAACATGTCATTCTAACTTGATCTAGAGCTGTAAACATTCATTAGGTATGATTATTCAACCAGCTCTGTATCCATCTAATTATAGCATAGCATATTAATTTGTATTAAATTAATAAAAGCAAAAAAACTTTTTAATGATTTCTCAATGATTATAGAACTTTGACGTGATATTTGCAAACTCCCTCAACACTCTCAGATGAAATTAGTGTCATCCTGGAGATAAACTTGTTCATGGTAGCCAGGTGTTCCTCAACCATCTCTTTGCTTATCTAAGGTTGCCATTTCTAATCTTGTCACTTGTACTGCTTTGTTCCATTTGAACATAACCCCAGTTTAGAGAGATGACCAGAGAAAAGTAGGATTTGAGGAGCTCCGCCCCTAGCCATGTTGCTATCATACTGTCTTTTGCTAGGAGCAAGACTACCTTCTCTTCTTCCTTTTAAAGTTGACATAACCCCGCCCCCAGCTCTTTTTGTTGCTTTTAGTTTACCTTGTGAGACTAAGTTGCTTTAGCACTTTAGATGTTCTCCTATAATAATGGTACTTTACTAACTATAAGCCTCACCATAGAGTGTCACCAGTAATGTATAGAAACTTGCTATTCTGGAAAGTTAAAGAAAGAGAATGTATGTTTCAACAGTGTAGTTTTCAGGTTAATTAACATGTTTGTTTTTTAATTCTTTTAATCTCATTAGCGCCATCTTGTGGGTGATGTAGCTCTTAGCATTCCAGGCTTTATGTCAGAGTAAAATAATTGGTCTAATAAGTGTCTTCCTTTGAATTACCTGCTATCGTTTATATAAAATATTAAGTTTATAATTACTGTTAGAATACCTACAGCAAATGCAGAGGAGGCTAGTACACTATACTGCTCCCTGTTTTATTTACAAATGTAGGTATTGCTATGGCTTTCATATATAAATAGGACAACATCTGTCACCACAGACAGGTTGTCTTACAGTACTGGCCACTGTGGAGCAACAACTAGTTATGTGTCTACTTCATGGCAGGCATTATTAGTGCTAACTTAGAAATTATAGTTGAAAGTGTTACAATTTTTCTTTCTATATCTTCATTTTCTTCAGCTGTCATTATGTTGTCTCCAAACATTATCAGGAGCAATCTTTGTGGTATAAAAAGTCCAGTTCTTTCTTTGAATTTTCTGGTTATTCACTAACATTCTTCTTGCCAGTTGTGAGGGAGTGAAATTGGGGTTGCTGTCTGTGCTTGAGAAAGGTATCTGCAGCCAGGCAGAAACGCCTCTCGCTCCATTTCCCTCATACATCCATTCATTAACTCAAACTTTATTCACAAGCATCCAAGCCAGTGTTCCAGCTGCCTGTGATAATTGAGCCACTTCCTGGCATTTTCAAGGACATGCCAACATCCAGAGGCAGCCTCACCCCACCCAGGCTCTTAGCTTAGAAAAGCAAATGCTAAGACAGAGGGAGGTGTGTATATAGGAGGAAAGGTGATAAGCAAACGACATACAGACAGGGAAGCGGAGGCAATGTCTGAAGACTGGCAGCTATTACAAGCAGGCAAGAGGACTATTTTTCAACTGCCAGGACCACAAGTTATGGTGAGCAGCATATCCTGGTGGGAGTCCTGCCTGGAGCTTGGAGCTTTGCCGGGAGCTCAATAGCAACCAGAAAAGGAGCAACCATACTCATCCCAACTAGGGCAAGAT